TCCTTGAACGCTGTTATGGATATTTTACTCTTCGTAACACTTTTGTAAAGGATTTGGGCATTTACACGGGCCGATCCTGTAATCAGCTCTATTGTCAGCTTCCTGTACCATTTTACTCATCGCCTCACTGCTGTGGAATAAGCTTTCATTTGGTCCGATAAATTTATAAAGCTCTTACTATTATTGTAATCTATGACCATTTGTGGCTTTTGTCCTCCATTTGTTCCTTCTACGTTTGACATACTATCATCATGCTTTGTACTCGGCATTAGTACATCCCGCTCATCCTTCTATTTAAGTACAACTACCCCAGTTGTACTTTCACGTGCAATTGTCTCGTTTTTTTTCAATTTCGCTTGAATGACATCCTGAGGATTACATTTTCTATTGCTTCGAAGAGTACTTACAAGGTGAGTAGACCGTTTGGCTAATTTGTGCGCCAAATGAACACTGGTGTAAAAATTATCAGTGTAAAGTACTCTCCCAGCGTCAAATAAGTTTTTAGTCAAGTCTAAAACCACTAATGAAGCGACAGGTACTCCTGGTTGAGCATCTCGTCCACAATATACTTTTAAGTTATGCGTGCATCCATTCTGTGTACATAATTTGTATAACTTAATACCAAATTTATGCCTGTTTTTTTATAAAATGCTTGAATGAGAGCTTGTCACAAGAAGAAACCAATGTTTCGTTAATACATATATCTCTGTTAGGTATATTGGCTTCTTGGAACCGTTCCAATAGCATATCAATAAGAGGCTGAATCTTGAACAGCCGATCACCTAGAGGGCACACTTGGTTATTGGTTATTTTTTTGGACCAGTAATCAGAAAAGTTGGGCTTCCTGTTTAGACCCATGCAAAAAATAAAACCTAGAAATATTTTTATTTCTTTTGCTGTAACATTCTTCCATTTTATCAATCAAGAGTCTAGATAAATTAGCATTTCCAATCGTTTGTTGCGCATACCTGTTTGTTTCTAGCACCATGTGCTGAATAATTGCATCAGTTAGGAAGTACTTATAAAAGTCATAGGGAGTTTTTCCCAATAATTTAGCTATTATATTTGGTGGAATATAGGCATTTAAAACGGGAAATTGAACAGTCTTAAGGTCCAGTTACTGGCTTCCATACTAATGCATCTACGATGTCTGTAACTTCTTCATCTTCAAATTCAGACTCCGATTCTGTCTGCATCTGACTGATTACAGTTTCGATAGTTGAGTCGACATTTGACGAATTTGCATCGTCAGCAGGTGGGGCATTTTTGGTATGAGCACGTGAAGTACTTGCACCACTAGGGCGTTTTCTAGTAGAAATACTGCATTCCTGAAAACAGTATTTTTTCAGTAACAAAAATTGCAATACAAGGAGAACTTACGTACTTGTTTCTTTTTCCTTTTGTGTCTGGGCATTTGTTCATCGTTAGAATCTGAACTCTCCTCTCCAGGGACCTAGTCATCTTCCGAATTATCTACAAATGGATCAGGTATGTCTTCGTCGCTCATATCTACTGTGACATCACCATATTGATCTTTTTTGTTGCTTTTTTCAGAAAGTACCTCATCCATAAGAGAACGAAGCCGTTTCTGCTCACTTTTAACTGTTTCGCGCCATTTTTTGAAAAAGCGAATGTCTCCCTGCACGGATAAATACAGACTGCTCGCCTTCGGACTCTACGGCCTGCGTCTGCCGACAAAGCCGGTTCTACTAAGTGGGGAAGCGACGTTGCCACGAATAATTATATGTGAATCAAATATAATTCATGTGGCGCTGTGAAATAATTTCGTCCCCAGGGCCGCGTGAATTATATTTGATTCACGGGGGTAGTTGCTACCCTTACCAGAAAAAATCGAATTCATCCATAATATGTATTCTATTATTAATTAAAACATCAAATTTATTAAAAAAACAAGATGGCCCACGGATCATTTTTTTTTACTG